ACAATAGAGAGGCAGGACGTTAGTGAGAAACAGATATGGCTTATTACCTGTTGATGATGATATGTATAGTATTCTCAACTGGATTGGTCTGAGAAGTATGTCATGATGGGTAAAGTCTTTTTACAAGCAAAATGAGAAACAGTGATTGTTTTAAAAAATAATTATAATAATAATAATAATGATTGGGAAAATCATAGAAAAGATATTGAATGTTGAAGCGGGGAGATTAATGTCTCCGTATTGACTGACATGCATGGCATTCCCTTGTGAAAAAGCAATGTAATACACTGTAAAGTTGTATGTAATCCAATGTAATATAAAGAAGATTATGATGATAATAAACATAAAAAAAGAATGATCATGGGTACATAGGCATTCATGTTAAAGTTCTCTGTACTTGTGTGCACATTTGAAAATGTTATAGTACATAGTATGTGTATTTCCTTTTGGCATCAAAGACATTGAGAATAAGTTGTTGGCTTATGTGGTATGATTCTAGGGATATCTTGGAATTTCTTCTAAGTTTACCCCTAACAAAAAGCCCCTAATTTGTTCACTACTGACTATAATTGCTCTTAGTTAAAAATTTAATTTCTGTGGGACCAGCAGTTGGTGTAATGGCTGTGTCACTGGACTCCAGTGTAGTCGACCATGGTTCAAGTCTCAGACCCAGTGGCTTAACTTAACCTCACGCCTGGTGCATGTGTGTACATGCCCAAGATCCCGAGAGGAGAATGGAGGAGAAGGGATTACGGTGTGGCCAGCCCCCCTGGGGGGTGATTTCTTGCTTTCTGTCTGTCTCTTTCTGTCTTTCTGGTAAGAGTATGCACCCTATAGAAAAAAATCTCTCAAAAAATTTAATTTCTATGAAAATTGAACCCCTTCCAAAGGCAAATATGCCATAGTATATTTTCTTATCATGACTTTAATGTTAGTGAGCTTTAAGTCTCTCTGTGGGGATAAATTATGATGAAAGAGAAAAGGAGAGAAATAACGATGACATTAAGTGTATTAATAGGAAAAGTCAGGTACCAATAAGGGCTAAAACATTTCCAAGAAGACACTATTAGAGTTGAAAAGACACTTCAGTGATTTCAGTTTTTTCTTCCCAAATACTACATAGTTACAGTGTGTTTCATATGCATATTAACCCTGAGAATTCATTTCTTCTAAACTTTAGCATTCAATATGAAAGATACAAGGAGGTCTTCAAAAAAGGTCCTTGAAAAATGAGTATTATGAGAAAAAATATGCATGGAATTAAATACTTTCACACCAAAATAAATTCATACTTTAACTCTATTTTTCATAAGCTTTTTGAAGTCCCCTCATATAAGGCTCCTTTCATTAGTAGCTCTCATAGACTAGGAATGGATCATATATTTTTATAAAATTCTTCTGGATCAATTCCTGGATATTTTCTTATCACGGTATCTGTACAAAAACATGCTATTTGATAGAAAGGTATACAATGTCATAGGTGGAAATACTTAGAAGTAATGTTCTTAATCTAGAGTTAAAAGACCCCATGAAGGGGCCAGTGGGTGGTGTGGTGGTTGAAATGCTGGCTCCTCTATGGCCAACTGCGGTTCAAGTACTGGACCTGTAGCTGGCTTTCTCACTTTCTCCCTCTCTCTGATGACAATAGCAAGTTAAAGATAATAATATAATTAATAAAATATAATAAATAATTCTTATTTTAAAAATTCTATTATAGTGTTGGCAGTAGCAATGCGGTTAAAGGTGG